AAAAAAAAATTAAACAACACAGTAGAGGCTGCCTGTAGCCCTTCCCCAGCTAAGCTGGTTCCCTTCTCCCTTTACCACACTTCATGACTCCCCCCTCCCATCCACCTCAACTGCACAAAAAGTGCCACACCAGCTCATGGTTCATAATGTAGCTGGAGAGGGAAGGGTCCCCCTAGACCACACAGGTAGGTAACACACACAGAAAAGCTAGAAAGAAGCAAGAGCCAATGAGAAGACATAAGGTCCATGCACACCGGGCAGGACAGAGAAAGGCACAGTATATGAGAAAGAAGAAAGCGGAGTTTATTCTAGAAGAAGAGATTTCCCTTTGTTTTAAGTCATCTTTTTCACTACTCTAACCAAAGGACTGATGAGAACAATTTTAGAGGAGGAAAAGTTTATTTGGGGGCTCATAGTTTCAGAGGTCTCAGGCCACACACAGTCAACTCCATTCCTTGGGGCTGGAGGCGAGGCAGAACATTATGAACTAAATAAGCTTCCTCTCTTTATAAATTGATTAACCTGAATTTAATATATCTTTTATTCTATATTTCTTTTCATTATAAAATATTCAGTGCCAGTGTTCTGTTATAGCAATAGAAAATAGACTACAACAAATAATCTCTTGAGGCCCTCACAGGTAAGTGTGGGAGGCCATCCTCGCACATGATTTGAGTTACTTCCCTGGCTGGGTGAGAGGCACTTAGACACAGTTGTGTCAGAGCTTTCCCCACCCTTCTCTAGGTCTGAGAGCTTGGCCATGCAGAGGCGTGTGTGGCCACTGCCCCGAAGACCCAATCCAATCATCAACCCTGACCTTGGGATGCTGCCCCCTTAATCTTCATTGGGTAGGATTTTCCAGGGAATTTTTTGTTCCCCAATAAAAGTCCGTTCCCTGGGGTGTTCTCTCTCTCTCTCTCTCTCTCTCTCACTAGCCTCTTCAGTAAACCTCGCTACTGCATTAGGTGGCTGGAAGATGGAGCTAGGAGAAGCTGTCCTGGAGCTGGTTTTAAAGGTAATTAGAGTCTTATCTCTTTAATTTAAAGCTCCCTAGCATTTTCTCAGGATTCGAATCTTCTTTCATGAAGCCAGCGCGGGTCAAGGGCTAGAGGTTAGGTAGATGGAAGACTTAAGAAGCCATGCAAATGTTCTCACAGATGGTAATGCCTACCAAAAAGTAATCTGGAACAGGTATATTTTAAAGATGTACATTAGATCTTAAAGATGCAAAAACAGAAGATAGATTAGTAGAGTAAAAGAAGGGGGTGGGGGTTGGGGGGAGAAAAGGGAGTTACTAGGGAATTAAACTGACCAAATTGTTATGTGTAAAATGAATATACCACAATGAATCCTAATGTTATATATAATTATAATGCACCAATAAAAACCAAAAATTTTTAAATCCCATTAACATTATCTAATTAAAATTCTCACAACAGCCAGACATGGTGGAGAATGCCTGTAATCCCAACAACTTGGGAGACTGAGGCAGAAGGACCAAAATTTTGAAGCCAACCTCAACAATTTAGCAAGATATTGTCTCAAAATTTTAAAAAAGTTGGGGAGGGTGGTTAGGGATGTAGCTCAGAAGTAAATAGGTGCTGGGTTCAATCCCCAGTATTACCAAAAATAATAATAATAATTCTCACACTAAAAAAGATACAAATTTAACCACCAAATCAAGTTTCCCAGTGCAGACCACAGTTTCAAAAGCAATGGATCAATATCTATAAAATCCTAAAAATATGTATGCTTTGTCAAGAAAGTGACAGTAACAGATATCCTTTTGTGGATTACAAAATATTTTTCTTATTCATCAACCATACTGGCTATTATGTAAAAGTCCATTAACTCTCCACAGAATTATAGACAGGCTTATCCAGTGGGTGCTATACAAAAAATCATGCATAAATTCACCTTTGAGGTAACATGAAACAAATATGGGATAAATTTCACCTTCGTAGTTCTGAGAACAGTGAATGATAAGATGGAAGCTCTGGGGGGTCTTGCAAGATCCTGTCTTAACTGCTGTTTCACTGCCTGCAGCTGCATAGTGGCACCATGATTTCCAGCATGGTCAAGCTGCCAACAGGTTCAAACTACTCCCCTCACAAAGAAGGAACAAAACCAATCAAAATCCCAATTCTATAAATATAACAAGTCAATGCTATTTATTTAAGCCTTTAAAAACCATACTATAAAATAGATCAATTCAGTAAGCACTTATTGAATATCCACTTAACAATGAAATCTAAAGTAGGATATATATCAAAAAGAATTTCCCTTCTTGACTAAAATATTGGATATCTTCCTTTCTGTTCCACACCAAGTATGTGTAACTTTCTCATATGCATGAACTCTCATATGCGTGTTCTCTCATATACTGCTATGGACTAAATGTTTATCTCACCCCCCCCCTCCAAATTCCTATGTTGGAACCCTAGTCTCCAATGGGATGGTATTTGGAAATCATGCATCTGAGAAAAATTAGGCTCTACGGGTGGAGCTCATGATGAGATTAGTGCTCTTCTGTGAAGAAACAAGAAAAAGCTTCCTCTCTCTCCTCTCAATATATGAGGACATCACAGGAAGGCAACTGTTCACACACAGTCAGAAGTAGAAACCCTGACCTCAGACTTCCAGACTCCAGAACTGTGAGAAATACATCATTATTATTTAAGCCACTCAGACTATGTTATTTTGTTACAGCAGCCAGAGCAGACTGACACACCAAGAAATTACAGCCATCTATTGTCTAAATTCAACCTACAATGAAAAGGAAATTGGCAGTCTCAACTTTGTATAGGCAAGTACTTTATAGTAAGATTTAGTTATATTTTAAAAACCATTTGGGTTAAAGAAGGGTTATAAGAAAAGACTATTAATTTAAATAAACCTTCCACTGACAGAATATGGGAAAGACCCTAGCAAGTGAGAAAAAATAATGAAAAATATTAATACAACTAACAATTATCTACTTTACCACTACCCTTACAGCTGGCATTTCAATCAGTGCTGGTCACACTTCTCCCAAGTGCTCAGCTAAACAAAAAAAGGTGTGGGAAAATACAAACTAAGAATAGAGAGAGCTATTTTCATTTATAGAAATTTTCATTTTATTTTCATTTTGAAGTCCAGGTACTTCAAAAGAGCTAGAATATGATATATTTTTTTTTAAATTCTTTATGGAATAATGGAAAGAATGGTATCCAATCAACTACAATAACTTCAAATTGAATGACACTTATTAATTTTTTTCTTAATCTTTGGTAAAGATCAGTTTAACTATAAAATAGAAATTCTACAAGAACTAATTGGCATATGTTTATACAGCACGTTGCAAAGGTAATGGAGAAAGCAGGAAGTCATCCTTTATTCTTTCCTGTGCCTCCCCACATATATTCAACAAGTCCAATTAAGAAATAAACTAAATACTCCATTAACCCATCCCAGATAATCCCACCATCACCTTTTTCCCTAGGCCAAAGATCTTCAGGGATTGGCCTATCTTTAAAATACAGCTTCCATTTGTTTTTGTAAAGAACCTTTTATTGGAACACAGGTCCAAACATTGACATATTGTCTTAGTGTTTTCATATCACAATGGCAAAGTTAGTGAGTGTGATTGGCCCACAAAGTCTAAAATACAATCAGATACCACATAATGTTTTGATTACACAGCTTAGTGACTCCTTCCTTGGCTCTCTTAGTTATACAAGTACACTCTCATGATGTTGGCACAATGATAAAAATTGCCTTATAGTCTATTTCTCAGAATGTATCCCCATAATTTTTTTAATTTTATTGGTGCATTATAATTACACATAATATTCACTGTGACATACTCATACATGCATATCTCATATCCCTATTTATAAGCAACATATAACTTTATTTATTATCTGGCCTTGTACAGAAAAACTATACCAAACCTAGTCTAACTAAGCTATTAAATAATCCTCTGCTATCCCAGAACTTACTGAGTTCATTCTACAAACTGCAGTCTCAGAGAAACTTTTAAGAACAAAAATCTGATCGTTCAATTCTTTGTACAGATAAATCCAAACTCCTTAAAGTAGCTTTCTGCTGATTTTTCCAGCTTCCTATCTTGCCACTAAACAATCTGACCTTTGTGCTCAAGTTATTTTATTTTAATCTCTCCAAATTCACATTGCTCTAATCTTCAGGAATTTGGCATGAAGCATTTCCCCAACTTGGCATACTATGCCTCCTCCCTTTCTCCTAACTCCAGATCATTGTTTCAGGTCTCTGCACAAATGCCATCTTTTCCAAGAAGACTTCCTTGACCCCAATGGCTGGGATTAGAAGTCCTAAACATTCTCCATCCTGAACTTCTCAGACTCTAATGCATAGTTATTTTCAAGCCACATCACAAGTACAAGGGCAGAGAGAGGCTCAGTGGTATTAACTATGGTACCCTTTTAACCAAGTAAAGCATTCCTAAATTTTTCTTCAAATAAATTTATGCTTTATATCATGTTCTGAAAATTAAAAGAACTTTATCTTTTTGGGGGGCAGGGGGTACTAGGGATTGAACTCAGGGGCACTCGACCACTGAACCACATCCCTAGCCCTAATTTGTATTTTATTTGGAGACTGGGTCTCACCGAGTTGCTTAGTGCCTTGCTTTTGCTGAGGCTGGCTTTGAATTCGTGATCCTCCTGTCTCAGCCTCCAGAGCCATTGGGTTTACAAGCATGTAGCACCGTGCCCGGCACGAACTTTATCTTAGTGATTTATCAGAAGTAATCAGGCATACAGACTTAACCAATAGATAAACCATTTATAACCACTTATGAACAGAATAAGTTTACATCAAAATCAGAAAACTACCAAAAGACAATCTCTTCTAAGAACAACTATTGTGTACTTATTAGTATATTACCTAAGGAAACACTGATTTTAGAGCTTAAGTATTTTAAAGATCATATTTAATGAACTTTTAATGAAAACTAAAAAATAAATATATTCTCCCATTACCTGTTCTTCCCTCTCCTTTTCTTTGGTCTTATTTCTGTAGACTCTAGCAGAAGTAGCTTCCTGTGATGGAATGGCAGAGATCTGATGCAGTGGCATGCTCATCCCAGCCTCTGATCCGGTTTCCTTCTTTATAGAAGAGAGTCTCCACTGGTAGAGTCATCTTGGGCCATGGACTTCAAACTAAGAGGAGTGAAGAGAAACATAACTGAGCTAAAATACTTTTCTAAGAATGAGATTAGCATTTTATCTTTAATTTCATATTTTTACTTAAATAGATAATGATAAATAATGATAAATGTTTCATCTTCAAAAATGACAGAAATTAGCCAGATGTGGTGGAACACACCAATGATCTCAGCAATTCAGGAAGCTGAGGCAAGAGGATTCAAATTCAAGGTCAGTCTCAGCAGTCAGCAAGGCCCTAAGCAGCCTAGTGACAGCCTGTCTCAAAATAAAAAGGATTAGGGTTGTGGTTCAATGGTTAAGTGCCCCTGGGTTCAATTCCTGGTATTCAAAAAAAAAAAAAAAGGAAAATGACTTTTTAGGAGGAAAATTGTAACATTTCTCTAAAATGGGAGTATGCTGAAGAGGCTGGTGATCAGGTACATGCATAATCAAAGATTAATTCTCCACTGTCTACTTAGATTTAAGCACTTTATTCATCTACTATATTTTTGAAGTTAAACTTTTTTCATAATCAAGCATTCATCCTGATATAAGCAGTTATGTTTCCTTAAAACTGCTGCTCTTAAGCATATACAATAGTAAAATTGGAGGTTAAGAAGTCTAATATAAATTCAAAATATCCATGATCCATGCTTAACCTTCTAAAAGTATAGACTCACTAGACCAGTTGTTGACAAACTTTTCCTATAATGGGCCACATAAATATTTCAGGTGTGTGGCTGAATCTGTTGCAGCTACTCAACTTGCCTTTTACATGGAAACCGCTTATATGTACATGAAGGAGAATGGTGATGTGCTATGGTTTTTGATATTGTGTGTTCCTCAAAGGTTCATATGCTAGAAGCTTATTCCCCAATGTAATGGTATTTAGATGATGAGGCCTTAAGAGATGAGGTTTTTAAGAGAGATTAATGCTTTCCTGAGAGAGCAAGTTAGGTTTCATTGGTTTACTCAATAGCAGGTTGTTATAAAGCAACTTTTACTGCTTCTGCCCACTCTCTTGCCATGTTCACATCTCTCATATTCCCTACCTTCTTGCCCTTCTCCCCTTTCTTGTATTTTCACCATGTCATGTCATCCACCATATTATGAGACCCTCACCAGAAAGTAATGCCAATAACCATCTCTTGAACATCCAGATCTGGGAGTTAATAAATCTTTCCTTTATAAAGTATCTAGGTATTTTATTATAGCAACACAAAATGGACTAAGATTTATATTCTAATAAAACTTTACTTATAAAAACAAGTAGTAAGCTAGATTTGGCCCATGACCTATAGTTTGCCAAGCACTGCTCTAAAGGGTTTCTCACAGAAGATAGGAGTTATCATGAAGATCCCCAGGAAGATGACATTCCTGAGAACCAAGAAAATGCTGCCCTTAGGTAGAATAATAGTGTATGTTACGCTGGCTTCAATAATTCCAGGCACTCATGCCTTTTTTCTGTTTTTTTTTTTTTTCCCTCCTACATGCCCTTGAAGTGGCTAGTAATTGAACTATGTTCTTTTTCATTCTCTCTTCTCAATGCCCCCACTGAAACCTATCAAAATTCTATATACAATTAAATACAAATTATTCATAAGGCTTAAGGTAGCAATGTTTCTTGCTGTTTGAAACTTAACAAGGATATAAGCTTTAAACCAAAAGAATTAATCTCTAACTTGAGGGATTTCATTTATTAATCATATGCTTGGGGTGAGATAGTAGTAGTAGATAGGCAGGGAAGACAAACAACAAAACCTAACAACCCTAAGGCCACATTTGACAAGCAGACATTTATATCACCTCTCCCAAAATTCTGCTCTGTACAAAGGTATTTATGAGGCTGGTCTCACATTGACAGGTCACTACAGAAACAGAACAACAAAAGGACTCACAAAATGGACTCCTTTCATAGCTAAAATCAACAAGCAACAGAAAGGAATAAGAAACTGGAAGGAACCAATGAATACAAAGAAATGATCTTTTGATTTTAAAAATCAAATTTTATGCCAACCATGGCGGCACATGCTTGTAATTCCAGCTACACAGAGGCTGAAGAAAGAGGATAGCAAGTCTGAAGCCATACTGGGCAATTTAGCAAAGACCCTGTATCAAAATAAAATTTAAAAAGGGCCAGGAATATACCTCAGTGGTAAAGTGTCGGGAGCTGTCACACACAAACCAAGCACCCCTTAACCTTGAGTAATGAGAATATGGAGATGTGGCAAGCCAGCTATGGGCTGTGTGTGTGTGAACTATGAGCATTGAGCACACCAAGTGGACTGAACTGACGTCCCTCTGTTTTGGGCTGGCCTTGCTTGGTCTTTTCGCTTGCTCTGCCATGATCCCCACACAGCTCATGAGATGGGCATGGCCTTCCTAGATGTCAGTCAACCTGCCGAGAGCAGACATCATAAATCTAAACTCAACTCCCTGAACCTGACCCCTTGCCTCATTTGAATGGCTTCTCCCCAATAAAAGAGTTCAGCATGTGCTCTCTCTTTCCAGACCTTTAAGTTCGGAGGAGCCATCACAGGATCCAAAGAAAAAGGTATTTCTCTGTCTCTGTGTGATTATTTTGTGCAGACCAGTTCACCTAGAATGACCTTGAGTGTTTAGTCATGGAACACAACAGTACAGCACCCGTGAAGCCCGTGTGAGGCCCTGAGAGTTTAATCTCCAGTATCTTAAAAAAAAAAAAAAAACTTTTAATTTTAGAACAGGTAGATAATCTCTGATAACAAGTGTCATCTACTTAATTTTTTTAAAGTAGAGTAGATATACATAACCTACTCTTTTTTTGAAGTCAAGTAGATATGCATAATCTACTTTACTTCAAGCCTTGATGAAGCTAGTACAGATGAAGCACTGTAACCCACAAATGATCTGAATGTTTATATTTAAGCACATTATACAAGAGAAACTTATTTTTTGCTGATATGTCTTACATGCTAGCAGATCACAATAGTTAGTAGTGAATTGTTTTTTTCATCAGTAATGCATTAAAGTCCTTTGTCATGGATGATAAGCATTATCGCATCACTGATACATGCCCATGACAATCTCAGGGGACCATTTATGCCACTGAAACACAAATGCAAGAGGGTTTAAAATTATTTGCAGTTTTTAAGGACCTGCTTCTTTACAGCCACTTAAGCTAGTCTTCTGATGTACACCCCCGCCTCCAGGAGATAGACCTGTAAGTTTTCTTGAAACAATCCCTGTCCTGTGCCAGACATATTGAGGGTAAGTCTAACTAAGTCTATAAACAAACTAAAAAACAGACCATACCACTTTTTAAAATTTTCAGTTGTGGAGGGACACAATGTCTTTCTTTCTCTTTCTCTCTTTCTCTCTCTCTCATTCTCTCTCCCCCTCTCTCTCTTTCTCTTTCTTTCTCTCTTTCTCTTTCTCTCTTTCTCTCTTTCTTTCTTTCTTTCTTTATTTATTTTTTATATATTTATTTTATATGGTGCTGAGGATCTAACCCAGTGTCTCACGTGTGCTAGGCAAGGGCTTTACACTGAGCCACAACCCCAGCCCACCATACCACTTTTTAATGTGAAGGTAATTATGAAAGCATAAAGCAGTTACTACACTATTTTCTTTGCAAAATTTCCAGATATCTATCAATTTATCTTTAAAAGCAATGGTTAAACCTCTATATTATACCTAACAATCAATTCCACTAATGCTAACTCACAAAATATGGTACGCCTGAAATGAGCAACCATATCTGTTAGAACTGAAATGCCAAGGCCAGTTCTTTGAGTCTGGGGATGGAAATCCTATGTTCATGGACCAGAAGACTTTATATTGTTAAAATGTTTACAGTTTGAATCTGGAATGTCTCCCAGAGGCTTGTGTATTAAAGGATTAGCCCCAGCTGACAGCAATGTGGGGAGACAGTGGAACCTTTAAGAGGCACAGCCTAGTCAAAGGAAGCAGGTCAATGGGGGCATGCCTTCGAAGGGTGTGTTTTGTCCAAATACCTTTCTTCCTTCTCTCCCCATCTTAATTTCTCTCCCTTTCACCTCTCTCCCTCCCCACATCCTTCCTGGTCACCATGAAATGAGCAGCTTTCTTCCACCACATTCTTCTGCCATAATGAAATGCCTTATTATAGGGTCAAAAGCCAAAAGGCCAAGAGATCATGGACTGAAGCCTCTGAAACTGTAAGCCAAAAGAAATCTCTCCTCTTTTTAAGTTTTTTATATCAAGTATTTTGCCAAAACAACAGAAAACTAACTAACACAGATGGCAATTCTCCCCAAATTGATCTAAAGATTCAAAGTAATACCTATCAAAATGTAAACTGACTTCTTCGCAGAAATTTGAAAAGCTAGTTCCAAAATTTATATAGAAATTCAAGGGACTCAAAATTGCTAAAATAACCTTGAAAAAGATGAACAAAATTGGAAGATTCACACTTCTCAAATTCAAAACTTAGTACAGTTATCAAGATAATGGTATTGAATAAATATAGATAGATCAACAGAGATGGGTGCGGTGGTACACAATACAATCCTAATGACTCAGGAGACTGAGGCAGGAGGATTGCAAATTCAAGACTAGCCTCAGCAAATTAATGAGGCTTTAAGGACTTAGCAAGACCCGGCCTCAAAATAAAGACATTTAAAAAAAGAGCTGGAGCTATCACTTAGTGGTAAGTAACCTCTGGTTCAATCCCCAGTACCAAAACAAAACAAAAGAATATATATATATATAGATAGATCAACAGAATAGAATATAGAGTCTAGGATTCATGTTATCTATGATTTTCAACAAAGGCCATTCTATGGTGAAAGAATAATATTTTCAAGAGGACGGAGACAACTGAATAGCTACATGCAGAAGAATGAATGTGTATCCCTTCCTAAAATAAAGAAAAAACAGACAAACTACACATCACCCAAAAAAAAAAAAAAAAGTGCTTTTAAAGATATCATCAAGAAAGGGAAGAGGCCAGTCCAGTAGCACACAACTACAATCCCAGTTACTGAGAAGGCTAA